TGTGCACCCCCCAGCAGAGCGATGTGCTACAGCATCAGCCTAGAGCAGGGGTGGGCAACTACGGCCCGTGGGACCGTCCTGCCCAGCCTCAGAGCTCCTGGCCCAGGAGGCTCGCCCCCAGCCGCCGCAGCTGGCGCAATGCTCTGGGCGGTGGGGCTGTGAGCTCCTGGGGCAGATAGGAGAACCCCTCCCCTAACCGGCCCTCCATACAATTTAAAAAACCCGATGCGGCCCTCAGGCCAAAAAGTTTGCCCGCCCCTGGCCTAGCACTTTCAGCGGGTAATCTCCCACAGATCTGTGCCTTCACACCGGCCCAGAAAGGTAACCTGGCAGCTCACAACACCCTCTGTTAACTGGCCAGTGCAGAGCGAGGAGTCATAAGAGGTCTCATTTTTTCTTAAGAGTACCCCTGCCAAATTTTTTCCTAAGAAGGAAAAAGGCTTCTAAGGAGAACTGCAAGTCAGCATCAGCTCCTCACAATTCATCAGCCTGCTGGACGTTTGCTCATCAAAAGACAAGGAACCATAAGTATGGATTACGAGGGCTGCTCACTGCAGAAATTAATAAAGCTCAAGATTAACCACTGAAATAAATCCCAAGCAAACCACTAAATTAGAACATAAGAACGGCCATACTGGGGCAGACCAATGGTCCATCTAGCCCAGTGTCCTGCCTTCTTAGTGGCCAATGCCAGATGCTTCAGAGGGAATGAACAAATAGGGCAATTATCGCATGATCCACCCCATCATCCAGTCCCAGCTTCTGGAAGTCAGAGGTTTACAGACACCCAGAGCACAGGGTTGCATCTCTGCCATCTTGGCTAATAGCCATTGATGGATCTATCCTCCATGAACTTACCTAATTCTTGTTTGAACCCAGTTATACTTTCGGCCTTCACAACATCCCCTGGCAACAAGTTCCACAGGTTTACCATGCGTTGTGTGAAGTACTTCCTGATGTTTGTTTTAAAACTGCTGCCTATAAATTTCATTGGGTGACTCCTGATTTGCGTGTTATGTGAAGGGATAAATAACATTTTCTGATCCACTTTCTCCACACCAATCATGATTTTATAAACTTCTATCGTATGCCCTCTTAGTTGTCGCTTTGCGAGGCTGAACAATCCCAGTCTTTTTAACCTCTCCTCATTTGGAAGCTGTTCCAAACCCCTAATCATCTTTTTGCCCTTCTCTGTATTTCTCCCCCCACCCCCCAATTCTAATACATCTTTTTTGAGATAGGGTAACCAGAACTTCACACAGCATTCAGTGTGGGGGCGTACCATGGATTTATACAGTGGCATGATATTTACTGTCTTATCTATCCCTTTCCGAATGGTTCTTAATATTTTTCTTGTTTTTGACTGCACGTTAAGCACATATTTTCAGAGAACTATTCACAATGACTCCAAGATCTCTTTCTTGAGCGGTAACAGCTAATTTAGAATAATCATTTTGAATATATAAGTTGGGATTATGTTTTCCAATGTGCATTACTTTGCATTTATCAACATTGAATTTCATCTGCCATTTTGTTGCCGAGTCAACTAGTTTTGAGAGATCTTTTTGTAACTCTGCACAGATATAGAGAATCTCAGTTAATAGACCCTCCCCTAAGGAATGTGTCTGTCCAAACCATGTGCTTCTCCGCATCTGTCAGCTTTCCCCCAACCCTTAGTTTTAAAACTCCTCTATGACCTTTTTAATTTTACATGCCAACCATCTGTCTCTATTTTGGTTTAGGTGGAGCCCATCCTTCCTGTATAGGTTCCTCCTTTTCCAAAAGGATTCCCCAGTTCCTAATAAATCTAACCCCCTCCTCACTATGCTATCGTCTCATCCATGCATTGCGACCCTGCAGCTCTGCCTGTTTAACTGGCCCTGTGTGTGGAACTGGGAGCATTTCAAAGAATGCTACCATGGAGGTCCTGGCCTAGATTTGGCCTCCAGGACCTCTCTCCTACCTTTCCCTAGGTCAGTGGTACCTACATGTACCATGACCACTGGCTCCTCCCCAGCACTGCACATAAGTCTGTCTAGATGTCTTGAGAGATCCGCAACCTTCACACCTGGCAAGCTATTTACCACGCAGTTCTCCTGGTACTCAACTATCTCTATTTCTAATGACAGAATCCCCTAGTGCAGTGGTCCCCAAACTAGGGGGTGTGGAAGAATGTTTGGGGAGGCCTGGGCCAGCATCCACAGGGGTGGGGAGAGCGCGCCACCCAGCCCTGCTCTTCCCCCAGCTCTGCTCTGGCCCCAGCTGCAGCCCCGGTCCTGACCCCCCCCCCCCCCGCCATGGCCCAAGCCTCAGCCCCTGGCTTGGCTGTGGCTCTACACCTCCGTCCCAGTTCCAGCCCCGCCCCACCCCCAGGCTTCCGGCCCAGCCGTGGCTCCAGCCTGGGCTCCCTTGCCCCGTCTGGTGCCCCTGAACCCTGGCCCCGGCTCCCAGTCACAGCTCCGGGGTGGGGGAACAGAGCAGTAAGGGGGGAGGCATGACATGAAAAGTTTGGGGATCACTGCCCTATTGCCATTACCAGTCTCATCCTAATAACTGGGGTTCCCTCCCCTAAAGACATCTCCTCAGTGTGAGGGAATACCATAACATCATCTGAAAGGAGGGTCCCAACTATGCGATCGTTTCCCTCCACTCCAGTTTGATGTTCTCCTTCCCCGAGACCTTCATCTTCCTCAACAGAACAGAAGCTGTCAGACTGAGGGTGGGACTGTTCTACTGTATCCCAGCAAGTCTCATCCCTCTCTGGCTCCCTTAACTCCTCCAGTTGAGCCACTCTGACCTCTAGAGCCCATATTTGCTGAGGGCCAGGAGGTGCTTGCACTGAATATGCCAGGTGTCCACAAGGCAGGCAATCATACATGCTGAATTCAGCACAGTAGACTGCATAGCCCCCACTCTGCTGCTGGACTTCTGCCTCCATTTTTACTCCTGCCGCCCTTTTTGGTTTTTATGGGGGGAGGTGGTTTTTTGGGGAGATTTCTTGGCCTAAGTTTAGAGAATGTTTTTTGGGTCTATCTGGTTCTCAACCTCCCTCTCTAAACTCTTTCGCAAAACTCCCATTTGCTAGCTCCTCTGGTCGCTTAGGAGCTGGCTTTTTAAACCCCTGTTCTCCTTGAATATCCCTGTCCCCTGGTTAATTGATCTTAAAGGGATTACGGATCAAAGCCTCCTTAAGAAGCTCTCAGCCTTGCCTATCAGGCCACTTGGCTTAGGACATGGCCCCCCACACAGACCACACTATAAACTTCAGTCAAGCAGGCACACAGCAAGCAAGCCCTCAAACTACAGACAACAAACTAACCCCAAGGGTCACGTAGTCACTCCTCCTTCACCAGTTTTCACGTTAAGAACTGGACCCTGGTCTCCAGTTTTATAGAAGACCATTACAACGCTGTGCAGTCTTATGCTAAACTCCTAATGAAGACAACAGGAATTCAGGTCATCACATAGTCATATGCTTGCCTGCTGAGATGCAAACCACTGATATTGTCCCCGCTACCCATCTGTATTAGACAGGCCAAATCATTGCCCTTCAGATCAGGATTAAAGCTTCCCCAAAACTCACAGCGTTCACTCTGAAATCCTCTCTAAGCCACACGCATAGTAACAGCCTTTGTCTTGCTTGGTAGTGTATTTCTGCCTATTATACACAAAAGCATCACATAACGCTATAAATGCTTATATAGGCTTCAGTTGCACAGATGAACTCGCATTTGATAGGAATTCTAGTCCTGCGGTTAAAGCATTGGCGTGGGACTCAGAAGAGCTGGATCCACCTCTGCCACCGGCTTCCTTTGTAACCTTGGACCTATTACTTCATCTCTGTGCTTCACTTACCCTTCTGTGCAAGAGATAATACTTGCTTTCTGCCGCTCTTAAAAACTAGGGGCCACATTTGCTGCTGGCAAAAACCTTGGGAGTCAATGGAGGTAGGCCAGCAAAAAAAAAGTAGGCCCATAATCTTCAAGACAATCACACATTTCAGTTGTAAGCTAATGCACTCCATGGTATTAAGTCAAAGCCCTTCTAATCAGAGGTCAGAAGTTTAGGTCTGGCTAAGGATTGTAGACAGGCTGCTTCTAACACCATCCAGTTCAAGTACTGTATTGGATCCTTAAAGTACTGGTCTAAAGAATGCCAGTGTAGGTAAAAGAAGATATAAAGGAACCTTACTTTTGCTCTTTAAATAGGGTGATATAAAAGAGGTTGTTTTTAATTACATACCTAGATAAACCAATGCATTCTATTCCTAAAGAATAAGAATTTTCACAAATTTAGGCACAGACAATTACATCTCTCTGCAGTCTGAGGTGGCTTTAAGTGATTTCAATGATTAGAGGATGCAGATATCAAGTGGGATCTTCCCCCCAAGCTAAGGGGCTTGTGGGAACGACGGATGCTCAAGGCTGACACTGTTAGAGCAAAGTCAACCTCACAACGAGACAGATACATAGGATGCAGCTGAGTAGTTCAGGGAGGGATGGGATGTTAGGACAAAGATATTGTGCTTCACACTACAGGCGAGGGGGAGCCATTGTAGGGTGAAGTAGTCAGAGCAATGGGCCAGGAAGACGATCTTAGCAGCTGTAGTTTGAATGGAGTTGAGGGGCAAAAGACAACTGTCGTCAGATTCCAAGAGGAGGACGTTTGTCTGTAGTGACCAGCTGTTTTTTGTTTTATGCTTCGATTGTAAATCCTTCTGGGGAGGAAGGGTCTTTGTACAGTGTTTGGACAGTGCCTAGCACAATGGGGTCCTGCTCCATGACTGGGACACGTAGGCACTACCGCAATACAATAAATAATACAGAACAAAGGCTGCAATAACACAGTAAGAACTAAAATCACTTATTACTGTAGCTTTAAAAACTTTGGCACAATCGGTCAGTGACTAAGTCACAAACATGACAAGTACTGTTGGGAGTCTTAAAGACATTTAAAACCAAGATTCACTTACACTGAACACAAGTGGCTTACACAGAGGATGTGAAAAACCAAATGCTTTAATCCATCTATCAAGAACAACAGTTCAAAGTATTTCATGGGATACATTACTATCGATCCATAATTTACAGTGCTATGGACCATACACAAATTATTGCTGCAGTCAACAGCAGGTGAATATCAACAACATTACAGTACCAAGCATCATAGCAAGAGGCAGTAATTAATGTCACCTTTTCAAGAAATATAGGTATTTTATATCAACATCTGCTTCTTCCCAGTGCATTTTATGTAAAAAAAAAAACATCAATGTAAGTGCATTATTTTGTGCTTTGCTTTTTTTTTCCTTGTACACTTCCTATTTGCTTTTATAGGCTGCAGAGTTAATATTGCTTTCGAGTCTAAAAACAATAAAGAACTTCATTATATTCTATACGTTCATATTTGTTGCATGGTTTTGGCAAAGTGAGAATTGTTTGGTAATCCATTTACCTGGCCAGGTAAGCCAGGCCTGGCTCACATTGTTGGCATGTGGGCCATACAGTCATTACAGCTTGAAGCTTTGCGCAATAACTGTCCTAGGGATGCTGCTCCATCTTGCTGACGCAATGTCTTGCCTCAAGCCGCTGACTCCACATTAAGGGCCATATGCTCCATGGTGCATGTACCGTAGAGAGAATAAGAGCATCAGAACTTAACTGTCTGAAAAGCCCTTACCTCCTACTGGCGTACCAAATGAGAACACTCATGTGCTTTCAGCTGCAATATCCCAAAATGCGGTTTGACCCAAGGACGCGTAAGAGGAGATGAGGAAAAGGCCAACGTTGAGTGTTACGTACAGTGTGCTATCTTTACAGACAGCACAATATGGCTGCTGGGGGCCATAGTAATGTTCATCCAGAGAAATCCAGATCTTGGTAAGGAATCGTATTTTTGTCAATTTCTAAGCATACGGGGACCATCTACAAATCGCATGAGGGCAGGGGATCAGGGTTTCATTTTAGTTCACAGAGGGCTCAAATAAGCATGATGCATATTTGCATACCCTACATCCAGGCCCCACTTCTACATAGCTCCAAACTGGATGCCGTGTTGGCTACCATCTTGAATGGATTTTTCTGGTTACAACACCCAAATGACCTTGTGCATCCCATTTTTGTCCAATTGCTGCAGCTCTCTGGCCTTTGCTCACCCTTTTACTCTGAAGGGGAATATATGACCTTGCATTAGAGCTATAGCCACTCTTTTGCTGTTATTTCCTTCATCTGTCACCGTTAAGGTATTGCAACAACAGGAGCAAGTGACTGCATGCATAGTTGCTAAACTGTGGCACAGCTGCTGTGCCAAGAGCCACCCAGGATATATGAGCATCTTAACTGCATTGCTGAGTATGGTGATGGGCTGCAATACGCAATGCTGGAGACACATGTGCACTGCCTCTGGGTCACAGTTTGGAAACCACTGGCGTTACAGATACAAAAAAAAAAACCTGTCCAAAAAACAGGCTAGGAAGAACAGGCATTTGTTGTAACACTGTGAGCTGACCCTTGCACCCCCGCCCCCCCAAAGTGACAAATCTGGTGATTATCAAAGCGAATATACAGTTAGCTATTCAAGCAGAAACAAAGAACTGCATAACTAACCGGTGAAAGAGCTATACAAATATAAGAAAGAATGTCAAGACTATAGAATCATAGAACTGGAAGGGACCTCGAGGGGTCATGGTCAGGTGTCCTGCACTCAAGGCAGGACTACATAGTAAACTAGACCATTCTTCCATATCGGCCACATAGGAGAGTTCCCTCTCTAAGCCCCAATCCACCCCAAGTACCAGAATAGAAAGCAGCAGAGCTGATAACAGGCCCAGTCATGCACTCCCATTGTCAAACAAAAAACTCCCATTGGCTTCCATGAGAGCAGGACTGGGCACCAGTGGTTTCAAGGATTTTTCATAATCGAAAGTATATGTGAAAGATGCAGCATCCATCAGTATGAACCTTCCACTAAAACGCCTGACGTTTTGTCCTCTGTCTTTCATCATCACTATATTCACATTTGATTTCGGAACACTATTAGACCGCCATGACCAAGTTTTCTTGATCAAGTCTGCCATGTTGGCACTCAATCACTAAACAAGATTTAAATTTTTATATATTATACATATCTTTCCAGTATAGCACAAAGAGAATGGGACGCTCTTGTTTTCTACATAGGGCACCAGGCTACACTCAGATTTCCTATAAATATCACCCCAAAACTTCCTTCTATGCCACACTTCAGTCAGTGCTAGTCCAAAAAGACTACTACTACAATTTAAGGCACTTCATTCTGAATGAGATGCTTTTCTGATACATTTCAACTGTAGGCTGCTACGGAGAAATCCAGTCGATCTGGCTCATAACACCATCTGTCATCTTTGTAAAACATCTAGGTTTGATAGAATACGATTATAACTACTGTTATTGCATAGGACTACACTTGCGTAGATAATGCACCAAAACTACTTTTACAACATTGTTGCAAGTTAAATTAATACGATGGTTATAAAGTAACAGTTATTTTAAGATACAGTAAATTTACTCTTTTTAAACCAGCCATATTGCTGAAATAAAACACCAAATTAATTACTCTAAGGGGCATATTAACTATATAGTTATTAGGCTTCAAGCATATTATTATTCTTTCTGTATCACTAAAAAATAAATATGTAAGTTCATTGTCTCTACAGAGCTTTGTTTTATTACCTAGTCTAAATTTGTACTACACCTTAAATTGTGTTTAAAAATATTTCCAAAGTGAGACTGTAATATACAAAATATTCTCCTGCATAAAAGCTTCCTTTCAAGTGTTTACAAAGAATGCAGAAAACCTCCAGTGAGTTTTAAACATGTCAAAAAATTGTTGCAATATTAAGAGGCATATTCTTATAAATGAAATACAGCTATATTTAAAAAACAAAACAAAAACATGAGGATAACTAAAGAATCCATGCAAATGAAAAACCTGTACAACGCTTAAAAAAAAATAAAATGTAAGGCCAGTTAGAAATATACAACAAAATGTGCCCAGTTGATAAAATGTATTGAATTTTGTCTGAAAATGTATACCAGATTACAGTGCTCCTGTCTGTTTTACTGTCGATGAACAATTCTAAGTGTCCTTTCCAAAATAAAAGCCTTTAAAGAAAAGCTTGAAGTGGGAGAAGAAGGGAAACCCTTTCAGTTGAGAGTAAGAATAACAACACTCCAAGAAACTGAGACAGATTCATGCCTCCCTGCACACACTCCTTCATTTCTAGCATCATTGTCAGGAACATTTCATATTGGAATCAACACAATCAGTATGTGTTAATGCTAGTTTTATTATTAATTATTATTATTAAAGTAGAATAGTGATTTATTTTAAACATCTTGTGATCTAAAGACTAAACTAAGTGTGACGGATACTGTATCTTTAAGGCAGCACTATTAAATCAACACAACATGGTTACAAAGTGGATATTTTTGGTTTCTTCACATTCTCTCTCTCTCTTCTTTTTTTTTTAGCTTTACATTTAGTTTCCAAGTAAATAACTTGTTAGTTTCCCCTGAATAGAAACAGACTGTTTTGATTTGTAATTCTATTGCTTTGAGTAGATTTGACCAGTTCAAAGTTCTTAGCGAATCCAGTTCACAAATACTGTACATAGGTTGTACAATATTTTGGAGGCATTGGTACTTTTAAAATAGAATATACAAAGTCTTTTCACAAAATTCAAAAATATATATATAATATATATACTGGGCTACTGATGAAGCACAAGTAGATTTAATATTAAAGAAAATCAAAAAACCTAAAAATGTAAATTATTTAATCTACTGATTAAGAAATGAAGCAGTTTATGAGAGGCCATGCCAATTATCTGCTAACAAGCATGATCAGTATCTTCCATGCTCATGCTGCTTCTTCTGCTACTTGTTTTTGAAGCTCCAGGAGATACTGAGGAAAGGAGTGGGTCAGTAACTCCTACAGGGGAGAGAGTATCGTCCATCAAAATATCTTCCAGTTTGGATCCCGCTTTTGTGGGGACACTGTAGGTTCCTAGGTTATCATTGAAAGTTATGGTACCATCAGTAAGATCGAGGGTAGTCGTGCAAGATAAATCTGAGCGGTGCTGCAATACGTCTTGGTTGCAGTTGTCAATGACCGGTTCTTGCTTGATGACCCGGTTTACCACATCTGGTGAGCAAAGGCCTGTAGATGGGACAAGGGAAAGTCCGTGTGCTCGAGCCTGCATCTCAAGTTCCTGTAAAGAAGGCAACAGACGCAAATAAAACCTGAAAGCAAAGAAAGTGTAATGCACTTGATATATCTTTGATGTACAATTTCTGATGGACCCTTATAAACGGCATCACCCTCTCAGCAGCTCCCATCTCCCTACGAGAGCAACAACTGTTGCAAGAACTGGACTTGATTTGGTCCTGCCATGCGGGCAGGGGACTGGACTCGATGACCTCTCGAGGTCCCTTCCAGTCCTATAATCTATGAATCTATAACTGTCATATCACCCTCCCAAACTTCATCCACCCAAAATCACTACTTAAATAATGTTCTCTCAATTAAAAAAGTCTGCAGAGAGTCAATGGTGGCAGACCACTGCAGGACTTTTCCTGGAGAACCATCTCATTGCCAAAACCAAATTTCACAGGCAATACGATCAAGATGTCTTCAAGCAAACCAGCAACTTAAGTTCTCAAGGGATATCCAGATCAGCAGTGTTGACAGCAACCACAGCAAAGCCTTACAGTGCCGGGCCATGACGACAGTTACACTACATCTTTTTGTATTATTTGAATCCGTAACTACCATAAATGGAGCCACCAAAATAAACTGGTAATAATTGCAAAGTCCTGCTATTCATAGGGGAAACTGAGGAACTCTCCAGGAAAAAGACACCATCATAGTATATTACTTCCTCTGGTGAAAATCCTCCTGGCTTTCATCAGTGCACTGCTTAATTTACTGTTCAATGTATTTTTAATAGACATGCAGCCATTGGCTGGCTCTCCCTGCAGCAGCTCAGTACTAGACACAAAGGGAATGCACAAAGCAGGGAAGAAGAGCCTCCAGCGTGGTGGCTTTCAAGGGATGGTGCTGCAGAACAAGGCTGGTATCCTGTTCCCCCCTTTCCCACCCTCAGCACTGCCTCCAAGCTTCACTGAGTTCACTCTGTGCAGAGCAGCAGCTAAGAGGCTCCTGCAGACTACCAGAGAGGAGGCTGTTAATGTAGCATCATTCCCTTCTCCCTTGCAGAGGGCAGGGAGACAACCTTGCATGGAGGACTCCCGCTATCTGCAGATCTCTGGGACAGCCTGTGCCTAGCGTTGGCGCTCCGTGTGAATTTGTAGAACATCATTCTACTCAACTGCTCTGTTTAGGAAGCAGTGTCATGTGAGTGGAAAACCATTAGCAGTCTTGAGTCAAAAAGCATTTGAACTAACTTGACCATATTGACAATTGCTCCATATAGAATATGGCACCTTGGGTCTCATCCTGCTCTTATTGGAGTCAATGCCAAATCTTTCTCTGCCTTCAGTGAGAGCAGGACTAGACTCCTTATCTGCATGTACAACCTAATAATGCCCAGTGTAGTTTGAAGTGCTTAGAGTTGTGTGGTGAGAGCAGAGAGACTGTAGTGGGAGCAGAGAGACACTAAACTACAACTGCTTTACAAAAAGGCTAGAGAATTATCTGCTATCCAGAAGCATCTCACTTTTTAAAGTTCCTCCTACAACATAGCTCGTCTCCTCTGGTAACTGGAGGACCAAGAACTCTACAAGTTCAACTCAGCATTAATCATAGGTATTGCAGGACCAGCACAATGGCTCTTCTAAGTTACATAGTAAGCTGGCGTTTCCTTGTAGCAAATAGATGTGAATGATATACATACAGCTGTTAAATTCATTCATAATGTATGCATCAGCAAACCTGTATTCTGAGCAGTAGATGTCTGTTGGCATGTTCTAGTTTCTTCTGCCTGTTCTCAAGTTCTTTTGTGCGTTGTTGTTCTCGCTGCAGTTTGCGGATATAGTCCACTGACGCTTTTAAAATAGTGCCCTTATTCCAGCGCATGTCCCTGTAAAAGTAGTGTTTGGGGGGAAAAAAAAAATCACTCTCACCCAAGCACATGGATCAAGCCAAAGCATAGAGCAGAACCGCAGCACCGTTTAACAGCACACAAGTTACACCACACCTGATCAGAATTACAGTATTACAAACTATCGACTTTGAAAAGAGCTGTGTGAAATACACTAGGGGGAGCCAGAGGGCAACTCATTAGCAGGCAGCCTACTGTACAGGATTCGGATTCACGTAATTCCTGAAGAGGAGACATGCTCACCATTGCTTTCTCATGGGAATGAAACTGCAGGGATGGGAAATTGCAGTACTCAAGGAGTCGTGTTTCGCGCAGAACTCCTACTAGAGCATTAGTTCCAAGGGACAGAATGGCTAAAGATGAGAGGACTCACTCAGTTTTAATGACGTCTGTGAGGCTGCTTGACTACCCCGCGTTGTACCCCCCTCTAATGAGCAATGCTGGATTTCAGCTTTGATCTTTGAACAACATAGTTAAACTCCCATTCACTAATGACCAACTCTAGTCCTGGACTGCAAAGACGTGTTATTGAATGGGAGAAAAGGGCATGGGAGCCTTGGACACCCTCCTATGCAGTCTCAGGGCAGGACTCCTAGGCTCTTTTGAGCCACTAACATAGCCTCTGAGTGGGTATGTCTACATTTATGGCACCATGTAAAGTACAGGCCCTACACATGTAGCTACACACAGCAGGGGAAGGCAGGCTGCGTCCACACTTGTCACTGCAGCGTGTAGCTACACAAAGTAGGGAAAGGCTCTGGCAGGGCAGAGCCTTTCCTCTGGCCAGAGCCTTTCACTGCCACCTCCCTGCTGTCAGGATCTTTCTCCACTACAAAAGCCTTTCACTGTGGCGGGGAAAGGCTCCAGCAAGAGTGAGGCAGTGGGACACTACGCTGTCAAAAACAGCAGTACAGAGGTGGGAGGCATTGCTTGGACGTGTAGAAAGCCATGTAGGGTATAAACCTTGGGGGTTCTACTCGGCTCACTTAAGCCACACAATCTATGTGGCTGTTTATGCCCATGCTAGGTGGGTGTGCAGCTGATTAGGGGGTGTAGTGAACCCTCCAGCCAGCCAGCACACAGAATTCATGTGTTAGCTAGGAGTGCATGCGACTCCTTTGCTCGTGGGAGAGCGCACGCACAAACAGCCTCCCCTATGGAGTCCTACCAGGGCTGGCAAGACACTAGAATTAAAAAGGTTTCATTGGGAAGTATCTGTTCACATTTACACTGATTAGGGCCCAATTTTTCCTGGTAGGGTCTTATCACACCACCAAGCTATTAAAATGTATACACAGTAGCAAGGCTCAGATCTAACATGTTGGCACAGAAGCAAACACAACTGATTGAGGATGCATCCGAGGGTGCATTTTCCAGGGATTCCTTAGTAGGGAAGGAGGAAGAGACATTTTGTGTAATGTGGGAGACAAAGACCAATTAATAGTGCTGGAAGGAAATGTTTTTATTTTTTTTTAAGCTGTTAAAGAGACAGACAAGTGTATTTTCCTGCTATTCAGTGCATCCTTTACGAACTTCAGCGTACTGATCTTTGCTCTTCTGATTAATTGGTTTCAAGCAATATATCAAACTACTTGATAAATGCTTATGTAGCTAATGCACAGACCTAGCACCTGCTTTATTTATTTACTCCATGGCACTGAGAAACTTACGAAGAAAGAAATACAGAACATTATTTTTAATTTTCAGGATAGCAAAAGCAAATGCGCGGTCTCTAGATTATCCCATCTCTGTAGCAAAAATGTAAACAGAGTGAAAGGTGAACCGACAGATTTCTTCTTGGTGATCATTCATGAAGAATCAAGAACTGTTGTGTATAATGAGTTTCTGTGGCAATGTAAAATGGATGTAGGTCATCTCCTCAAGAAATATGGGTTTATCAAGTTACTCCATCAATTTTCCTCTGGAGGGAACAATAACTTTCCAGTTTTGATACTAGCATATACTGATAAAGCTTTGTTGCTAGCGGAGAGCAGAAGAGATTTCAAAGTACAAATGGCCCAAATCCTGCACTCCTTGGATAAAGTGCCTGCTCACTTCAATCACCCCAACTGGAGTTTGGACTAGACACCAGGATTAACACCTTCACCCTTATGAAAAATGCTCTGGGATCATTAATGAGCCCAAGGGGTCAGATCTTTGCTTTATGTACAGCTGGTAGATTTTTCAAGCGATCTCAATGCAAGGATAAGCCTACTTGAGGAATGGCAGCCACCCCAAGAACCTCTCTTTCTAAATGGGCTGACCAGGAATTGAGGCAAATGCCTACTCTTCCGGTTCACATCCATCTGCTGAACAGGCTTCGATCTAGGGGAATACATTGGCAGTGCTCACAATTAAGTCCTTGCTGTAAGGGGTGTACTTCACAATACTCTTCTAAAAATTGCAAGAGACACTGTATAAGGGATTCTTTACATGGAGAAATTGACTGGCATAACTACTGCTGAAAAAGCTATTCTGCGATAGCTATTCCAGAATAGCTCCATGTGTGGACACCCAATCCAGAACAGAGATACTTCAGAAGAATAGCAATTCCAGATTAGAAGTGGAGTAATTATTCTGGAATAAAATCACTTTTATTTGGGAGTAGTGTCCACATGGAGGAGTTTTTGCAGAACAGCTATGCCAGTCAGTTCCCCCGCATGTAGACAAGGCCTAATTAATACCTCTGGTGCCTGGTCCTCGCAAGAGGGTTAGGATACATGGATTGCTTGAAGGCATTGTACTGGAATGTGCAGATATTTTAACCCCCCTGTCTAAGCCCATCATGATGGTACTTATGTGGGTTTGCCCGTCTGTGGCTGGTGGGAGTATCAGCATGTCAAGATAAGATTTCGGTCCATTGGAACATAGAAAGCATCTGGCTCAGCTCAGCGGCCAGCAGGAATCCTGTTCTGGGTTCTGCATCAGAGCCCAGGAACTCCCAAGTCAGGTACTAGAACAGGAGGTAACCACCAGCCTTGTTTCCCGTTTTTTGACTTGAGAGGACTATCCGCTTGGGAGCAGTATTATTTTCCATTTGAATTGCCAGACCAATCAGAGCAATGGTCCACTTGGTCCAGTATCTTATCCCATAGTGGCCAGTATCGGAGGAAGATATAAAACCTCCACGGGGAACAGTTATGTGCCAACATGCCAGCAGGAAAGTTTCCTCCTACCCAAGGCAGTTAGTGCGAAGCACATGATCAGACATCCACTGAATCAATGGTAATACGCCCACTGACTTCAATGGGCACTGATTCAGGCCTTTAGTGATTGGCTTTCATCCTGGAACATGAAGGTTTCATATCCCTTATATATTTTTATCCTAGCTATGGTAAATTAACTACAGTAAATTACTTAATAAAGCTACTTCTGCATGGATGTGCAAGCCGGGGTGTGCTTGTGGCAAGTTTGTAGTCAATGATGTGGAGAACCGGGAAGAAGCAACATTTTGTTTTTTCTGTTTTCTGAAAGGGCAGGGCAGTACCCTGGGTGCTCACTGACACAACTGCTGCCAAGTTCCTGTGGGCCAGACTAGTGCTTCTGCAAAGGCGAACTCATTGGCTGATACGGTTCATTAAGATACACCATCTACACAATCTTCCAGGAGGATCAAACACAAATTATTCAAAATCTTTAAAAGATTTCAATTACTGTGAAGAGACTCAGTGGTGTGGCCTTACAGGGGTTTGTCTACACAGGGGTATTAGTGCACAACAAACTAGGGTGTGAATTTCAAGCACACTAGCTACTCCACGCTAATTGTCCACATGGACACACTTACTGGGTGCCCAGACTGCCCTTCAGTGGTTTAGCTTAATGTACTCCCAAAGTATAGTAAGCTATTGAGCACAAAGGCACATTTAAACAAAAATTCACACATATCATCATTACCGAAGAGACAGTACCATACTTACGGGTCATTTGATTTTGGTATCAACGTGCCTAATTCTTTAATGCGATCGTTAATATTAAATCTTCTCCTTCGTTCAACTTTAGGAAAATAACAAAGAAATATACATTAGTAAAAATAATTCTTTCTGCTTACAGAATGAAACCCCTTTAACGTAAAGATTTCAAAAACACTTTATGCTTTATACATACATGTATACTTAATACCTGTATCACAAGTATGTTATAAAGCTTAAGTGAAGTAAGTCTTATACCCACTTTTCAACTGGATAAATTAAGACACAGAAACTGAGTGATTTGTCCAAGGACATCCAGTTTGTCAGTGGAAAGGCAGAAAAAGACCTAAGGTTCTGAGTCCCAGTCTCATTCTTTAAGTACTTTGCCATACTTCCTCAAAACACTACATGATCCAATTTAAAAATCTTAAACCATACTGTGCCATCAAGGAGACGTTGCTATTGAAACCAATGGGGAGTTCTGCTTTCTAATAAGAGGCATGAGATTGTTTCTTGTTTTTAGAAATGATATAAAGGATCCTAAAGTGTCCTTTTAGAATTTTAAAGTTAGTAAAACACGTGTATTCATGGTTGGCAAATATTTTTTTTAAGGAGCATACTTTTATAATAATAATAATAATAATAATAAAAAATATATGCACAGAAGTTTAAAGATTAGATACATGAATTGATTGCATACATTAAGTTGTTGTTTAAACTACAAATTTTGGTAACATTTTGTATGGTGTATTTGTCAAAGGCAACTGGCCACATTCTACTCTCAGTTATACCAGTGCAGGTGAAACCCCTTTGAATTCAGAATTTGGATCATATTCTCATAAGTTTAAAAAATTGTTCTCAAATAATTGTTTTAAAAAAATATTGCTTTCAATTCAATAGCGAGTTTCAGCAATCAATAGGAGCGAATTTGGGATATTCGATTTGTGGCTATAACCAATAAAGTGGTGTAAGTACTGCACAGTAAGCCACCCAAAGCTTTAAGCAGCCTGCATTCCAATGCCTTTTTAAAAATAATTAAAATCTTAATGATCATCTGTGTAACTTACTCGTCACTGTGGGTCATCAACTAAAAAATTCAGGAAATATTGTACACTGAGCATAATCAAACTTACTTAAGTTGTGATTGTCTTTCTTCTGCCTCTCTTTAGCCAGCGCCCTTGCTTCTGACTCTGTAGGAAAAATACACGCTGTGCACGTGAATGAAGTCATTAGAATTTTGGAAATTCAAGGAGTACAACATAGCAATTTATACAGCACATCCATATTTCTGATGTCATTTATCTTATCACTAGAGATATGCCTCACTACAGAGACCATAGTAACACAGCTACATCGCTGTAGCTTTGCTGACATAACCCCATCCAGCGTTCCTCAAACTGACGGTCCCGACCCAAAAGGGGATCACAAAGCAATTGCATGGGGGTCATCAGATCACAAAAAATATTGGGATAACCTTTCGATCCTTCGCTCGGGTTACCATACTTTAAGTTCCCAAATAGAGGACACTGCTGGGGGAGGGGAGCTGGAAGGGGGGTGGGTACAGCAGCTGCCAGTCTCCCGCTACCCAGCTCTGAAGACTGTTCTGCTGCCAGAAGTAAGGGTGGCAATACCATACTGTTGCTTTTCACTTTTTGAGACGCTCCAGTGCCTTTGACTGCAGGGATAGTGATTACATGCTTCATTTAGCGCTCCTCTGAGTATGTACAGTAATTTGGGGGGGGGGCGCGCGGGGGATCGTCAGAACCTGAAATATTTTCAAAGAGGGGCTCAGCAAAAAAAGTTTGAGAACCCCTGGCGTAGAGGAGGCCTACAGAGACAGAAAGGGTTTTTCCATCCATGTGGAAATACCGCCTCCCCCAATGATGATAACTACGCCGATGGAAGCACTATTCCATTGACACAGCTGTGCCTATATTGGGGGTTAGGGCAACATAACTGTGTCAGTGAGGGGTGTGTTTTGACATTGCTAGGTAAACCTAACTTTAAGTGTAGACCAAGCCTAAGAGAAGAGAAGGGACCTATTGCAGCAAGGTACCTAAGCACAATGCTAAGACACAACAACGTGCTCCCAGCAGTGCAAGAATTATCCAAGCATTATAGAAAAAAAAGATTTCACTTCTTTAGAAGCAATAGGTGAAATCCATCCCTGAGTAAAATACATTGACTCCATTGGAGTTACAACAGGGAAGAAGTTAACCCAAAAGTTCTAAGGAGGCATCTGCATAGCCACCTAGAAACAGGGTGAGATTCTTCCACTGGATTTGAACCTCTCAGCCATAGTGTGCAGACAAGCAAAGGGTTTAAATCCCACAAGGAAAGGTGGTGTGAAAAACTATGCTTAAAAACACTCTAAATCTGCAATTACACATATTTCTGTTGCAGCACAAATAATTTTACACATCACATGGGAACACAATACAAAACAAGAAGCAGATCATGATGTGTTTTCCTAAACACAGAAAAGGGATTATGATGTTCTCAATATCACCGTACTTCCAGACCTCAGTTATGGGAGAGCAAAAAGCTTTTCTACCCTGAGGATGCAGAGATCAGAAGTCTGTGTCTGTGTCCACACTGGGGACAACGAAATCCTCATTTACAGCAACAGATCTCCTCAAGGAAAACACTACTTTCTGATTTGAACTGATAAGCCCCCATCCCACATGACATCAAGAGTATCGCTTTTTAAAGGGAAATTCTTCAGATGCTTTCATATTTTTATGTGCATTTTGGTACCATACATAAGATGTGAGGCACTGTCCACACCCAGGAAGCTAGTCCCTGCATATGACCTGCTAGCACATATTCTGATGTCTCTGCTCTTACAGTGTGCAAACCATTGCTCTGAACCACCCCCACTTAAGGGATGATTGTGGCAGGGAGACAGTCGACCTAATTACAGACACTTATCTTGACTTAACACCACATCTGAAAGAGCATTCCTCATTCACAGATTTTTTTCGCTCTACATCCCAAGTCATAGGCACCAACTCCGTGGGTGCTCCGGGGCTGGAGCACCCACAGGGAAAAATTGGTGGGTGCTTTGCACCCATTGGCAGCTCCCCCCCCACCCCAGCTCACCTCCGCCTCCGCTCCACCTCCTCCCCTGAGCGTGCCGCGCAGCCCGCTTCTCCCCCTAGCTCCCAGTGCTTGCTGCTGCGAAACAGCTGTTTCGCGGCGGCAAGTGCTGGGGAGGAGGGGGAAGACGGGGAACGCAGCGCGCTCAGGGAAGAGGTGGGGCCGGGCCGGGGATTTAGGGAAGGAGTCCAATAGGGCCAGGGAGGGGGCGGAGTTGGGGCAGGGACTTTGGGGAAGGGGTTGGAATGGGGGCGGGGTGGGGGCGGAGTCAGGGCGGGGCCGAGGGCGGGTTGAGCACCTATCTGTGCCGGGAAAAGTTGGCGCCTATGTCCCAAGTCTCACACAACCTTGTACTGTGCATCTGCCAGTCTGGCTGCTTTCCTATGTATTCCCTCAGGCTGTGTGCTTAGCTTGCACCCAGAGGCTCAACTAACTTTCCGCCATTGTGGAACATCCTGTGCCTGGTTGCTATGGTCTTCAATCAGACTTCGTTCACAAAGGGCTTTTGGAGCAGCACACCTTTTTTAAGCATCTCTACACCTCTAGTGCAATCCTAACGGCCTTCCAAGGCAAGCGACCATTTTATCAGCCACAACAGCCTTTGTTTATGTGGCGTGACCACATGTCAGAAAGCAAACGGTGCCAGTGGCTTGGCGCTGGCACAGAGGGAGGACTCCCGCCAGAAGAGTCAGCACGTGCAGAGCTGCTCAAGGAGTACATTGGAGCTCGCTGCTGCCCAACATCTGTGGTTTAGTTCAGTGAGCTTGTGAGACTGCAGAACGCCAACCTAGCAAATAGGTAAGAATGTAGGCAGCCAAGAAACTAGACCTCTAGCATGTCTGCTGAAGGTTTCATCCCCAAATACCAGATCGTCCTCAGAGTATGTCTCTTGTTAAGAGGAATTGGTCATGTGCTTAAAGCCAGTTTTACAGGGGCATAAGGTGTACTTAATAAGTGGGCTGAATTATCCCCTAAATGTGGCTAGCTGCTATTTTGCCTCATTCCCAAAATGAAAGTGAAACTAAGACAGCGAGAGGTGCCTCAAAGAATACCACCTTTCCCGTCTCTAAAACACACCCCCAGTCTTAAAGCCTCGCTCTAGTTTGCTTCTGCATAGATTTGTATTTTAAACAGTGGACTGGTTTTTGGGTTATTGCTTTTTTAAACTCATGTCTTTTTTAAATAGATGTTCTTTCCCTTGGAGCTGCAATGGAAGGTGATTTTATCCATCTGTTACTTCCTAATGCATCTAAACGTTTGAGATCAGAGCACTGTTCATATGTAAGGAAAGTCTGTTTTAGGACTTCGGTGATGAGATTCTTGGAAGATTCTTAACCTTTATGATGATATAAATGAGTAAATATCCATTCATTCCTCAATACCTGACCACCTAAATGCAGCAGCAAGGGGTAATTTGACACTTGTTAGAGGATCCCACATTCATTACCTGACAGTATTACAAATTATTTTCTTATCATTAATAATCACCCCCATTGGCAGAGACACTACGTACAGTATTCTTCTCCGTGAAGTCTCTTGAGAAGCATCATGTTCATTCAAGTCGCTATTTCACCTATAGCCGGAGCAGCATCTAATAGATCCAATCTAGAGAGTAGCTATGTAAGAGATGCGAAGAGCTTTCTATCTTTTAAATGCTGCAGGGTTTTACTCTGCAGGTTGATTATGAAAACTCTTGGATTTCCACGCATTATGGTACTGTCCTTGTTTGTTACAAAGCAAACTGATTACATATCTACGGAAAGGAAACTAACCCCTCATGGGCTGTGTAGTGGAAGCCAACAGGTCTGCTAGGAAACGTACAGCTCAATTCTCCAGTTTGCACCTCCAAATTTCCCTTTGCATAACTGAATTTTCAAACACATCTCTTAAAAAAGGAAACTCTCATGTCAGATCATTTCAAGTGATAACATTTTAAGATCATTTACCTGTGAGCTCCCTTTTTATATTGGGAAGATTAGCTGGACACGAGTTGCTGACGTTCAGCCCTGAAGGAGGCATGCCTTGGTTGCCATAAAGGTCAATCAAATTGCCAGATACGGGTAACTGGAAAAGATAAAAGGGAGAAGGGTCACTTGCTGCGTCCCATCTGAAACACTTGAACAAAGCCAACATTTGCTTAGAAATCTGTTCTCGGCTCCATGCGCAAACAGGAAGCTCAACATCACTAGTGAAAATGTGCCTGGACGTGAAAAATAACTACTCTGCAATCCTTTCTCAAAGGCGAGATCCCAGAAGAAACAGAAAGCAAAGGATGATACAGAATATATAGACAATGCCATACGGATGCCAAGGAACTTCACTCTCCAGGCTACGAAGGACCTCTGCATAAGAACTAACTAGATTTTTTATATGTTATGATATTGTTCCTGTATAGTTTAAAAACAACTGACTATACTTGTATTGGGGGAAAAAGGAAAAAAGCCTTTAAAGTTTAAAATATAACCATAAGAGGGAGCCCAAACTCTCCCATAAATGTTAAAGAAGTGACATTGCCTAACAGAAATGAATTACACATTCATGTAATGTGGACTTGTTTAAGCCAACTGTATTTAGTTGACCTGAGAGCTGCCTGCATAGTATAGACCTACCTTGATTTGGGATTTTCCTGTTCTAACATGAAAAACACACAGGGGGGTGGGGGAGGTTTCCACACTTTTTTGCATTATATGGGCCAGGGTGTCTCAAATCATGGAGTTAAAGTGCCATTGCATTCTGCAGGAGTTCCAAGTACCTGAGAAGGCCTGCTAGGAGGGATCTGCAATAAATGGAGCCTTATGGTCACATGACCTCATGTTAATGATGTGAAGTCACCATGTGGCAGGAGAGGATGCAGGCTGCACAAATTATGCAACTGATAAACGTTGGGGAACAGGGGCTTATTGGAGAAATACCTAGTCAAAAGTGACACCAAGAGTCTTAACCTAACTACATCCAACTCCCCTAAGCATGCAGGGTACGGTTATGAGGTGTCCGTTAAAAGTCCGGTCAGCGGTGCGGTGGGGCTAAGGCAGGCTCCCTGCCTGCCCTGGCTCTGCACGACTCCCGGAAGTGGCGGCATGTCTGGCTCCTAGCAGTGCAGGGGGGACCAGGGAGGCTCCATGTTGCCCCCACAGCTTCCATTGGCCGTGAGCCACAGCCAATGGGAGCTGCAGAAGCAGTGCCTGTGGGTGTGCTGCCAGCCCCCTGAGCCTAGGAACTAGACATGCTGCTGCTTCCGGGAGCCGCATGGAGCCAGGGCAGACTGGGAGCCTGCCTTAGCCTTACTGTGCCGCCAACCAGGTGCTGCCTCAGGTAAGCACCGCACCCCGAACTCTGCCCCACACCCCAACCCCTGCCCCAGGTCGGAACCACCCCCCCCCTGCAACTTAACTTCCTCTCAAAGCCCGCATCCCAACCGCCTGCCCCAGCCCTGAGCCTCCTCCTGGAGCCCATTCCCCACACCCCCTCCTGCACCCCAACCCCCTGCCCCAGTCCTGAACCTTCCTGCACCCCAAACCACTCACCCCCGGCCCCACCCTAGAGCCCAGACCCGCTCCTGCACCCCAACTCCCTGCCCCAGCCCTGAGCCTGCACCTCCAGCCGGAGCCTTAACCCCCTCCCACACTTCAGCGAAAGTGAGTGAAAGTGGGGAGAGTGACCGATGGAGGAAGGGGTGTGTGTGGAGTGAGTGGGACTGGGGCTCAGAGAAGGAACGGGGCAGGGGCAGGGCAAGGGTGTTCAGTTTTGTGCAATTAGAAAGTTTGCAACCCTAATGTGGGGACATAGGGAATACATAATGCACAAGCTGTTTTTACATGCAGTAGGATATATAGGAGTGAGGAAAGTAGAATTGGAGTCTACCTAGTTATTTCTATCTATTCTCTCTCAGTTACAACTGTGTAACCTGTAGGCAGCGCTGTTAACACGCAAAAGATCGTTAGGCTGGAACATAGAGCAGGGGTTGCTTCTTATAGGCAAACAGGAGCTACTTATTATATGTGCACTGGTAGCAACGCCTAGAGTTAACATTGCTGAGCATGTCCTATTACCGGATCATGTTTTCAGTTGCTTCTAACTGTTTAGGCTCCAATTTTCCATACCAGGTGTCTGCCTCCGGCTGAATTTGTTTGGGTACAAGATTTGGAGGGAAAATTCGTTTCTTTGCTCATGCTCAAAACTTCTTACAACTGTTTCAGAAGTCATGATCAGCTGTAGTGCCTCAATGCTTTGGAGAACAAACTTGAAATTTGACAGTTGAGTCTGTAGGGTCAGGGATGTGCCTTCTGCTGTGCCCGGGAAACCCCACTCAAACTTGGCCAAGTTACAAGCCTCTGAAAAATCAGAGTATGCACAAGCTCAGCAAAGGTTTGTTAGAGGGTAGCAAATAGAATCGTCAAAGAATGGATCTGCACCGGGCATGCTCCATCCCCAAGCAGTTCCTACAGGCGGACAGGATTGTGCATAAGCTATTCCCACAGGGCAACTGAGTATGCTCCATCTTGGGGGCGGTGGGGTCTGAACAGGACTTTTCCTGCACTTGCTCCTGCAGCCTAGAAGAGGGCTTCTGTGGCACTAAGCATCATAACCGAGCACCAGAAGTTCTCTCTCCCATGCTCTCAATCTCTCCCTTCTAGTGCCCACGCCGCCTGGAGGAGAACGGGGAAGCAGTCAGATTCAAGTGCAAGATGGTGAGATGAGGGATGAAAAGTTGAGAGGAAATCGGGGCCAAAATTGACTGGGATAATCTGAAGGGATGGGGGCAGAAGGGCAATAACTCCTGGAGTACACACCCCTCCAGAACCAGAAACTGAACCAGGATTCTCAAGTATTAACACTTCTCTGACACCTAACAAATATATTTGGGAATCCCACTGACAAAATAAGAGTCTTTTTCCTCTACTGGCTCTTCCACCTAGAGGATAACAGACTACTCAATAGCTCAAGTGATAGTGCTCTGTGCTGTGGATCCAAAAGTCCCCCAACTCTGCTGATAACCCATCGAGGGGGAGGGGGGGGAGGGTGTCAACATGATTTCCCATCTGGGTTTTACTGCAACTCAGGTAGCTTTCCACTGTTTGGGAACTTGATGCAGATCATCTCAAAGTAGCAAAACAACCTTCAGTCTCCCAGAAGAGGTAATGGAGGAAGGGTAAGCCTGGCCCCCAACTCAGCTTGGGATGGTCACTCACAAGAGTGTGGTATAATGAGACTTCTCCCATCAGGTGTGTCACTCTCAGGGTTTGGTCCTCCAGATGCAGAGGCACACATGAAGTACAGCTGCGGTGTAAATTTCTGTCATTCTTGTTGACAGATTATGTCAGGATCCCTGAGTACTACAGCTACCAGAAGTTGTAATTTCCAGCTAAAATAATGGCTGGTTGTGCTGGACTCTAATGAAAGGATCTCTTGGGAAACTGGGTGGTAAGTTATGAAATTGAACCATCTCACCACTGATTACTGCCTTACCATCCTTTCCCAATAGCATGAATGTCCACATTCATTTCATTGTGCGTTTTGAATAACCAAGATGGAAAATGGTCTGGCTAATCAACGAAGCACCATGATGCATTGAGGGGCTCCCCTTCCCAAACTGGGGCATCCTACCTATCCTTAGTACTGTCCTGTTCCTTACAATTCCTCCTGACCTACAAACATCATTCCATGACTAACACGGAGCTCCTCTAAAGAGGAGATTTGACTGTTGCAGGAAAGGCAGATTTTAAAGGAAGTCAGGCTAAACGTTCAGGAAGCATTCCATTCCATTTTGGAATTTTGCTTAAGCTTCATTAGTTTTGGTGAGTTTGCAGTTAAACTTCCCCACCCAGCTCTGCTTTTTAAACCTAATTTGTATAAGAGCTAAGCATTAGATACAATACCCCAGCTATTCTGCTGCTGGGTCACTTCCAAGCAGACTGCAAGTAGGAGGTGGCCTTTGTTATGTTTCTTACTGTCAGATCAAATACATCACACTTGAGTTTTTGTGAGAAGACAGGTCTTTGGCAGCGAAGGGCTACTGCTGTAATTTATTGCAAAAAGCCTGATGCTTTTCAATTAATTGGTGCTTGAACCTCCCATTAGCACTCTCTCACTATAGATCTTCTATTTTGAAAATCAAGTGCACTTAGGGTGACCAGATGTCCCGATTTTATAGGAACAGTCCTGATTTTGGGGTCTTTTTCTTATATAGGCTCCTATTACCCCCCACCCACTGTCCCGATTTTTCACATTTGCTGCACTGTTACCACATGGGGCAAACTGTGCCTTTTCTTTTTTGTTTCTAACAGAACAACAAAGCCTTTGTTATGGTCTAAGCTGAGCGGAGCTATTTATAGATTGAGAGTCTCTGAGGACTGCTTCCTTTCCATGTTCTTTCACCTCGTAGTTAAATCAATAGTAAGCCTACAGATGTTTTACAATGTTACAGCAAAACAGAGTAAGTTCTAAGGGCCCAATCCTGCTCACAATGGCAAAATTCCCATTACTTCAATAGGAGCAGGATCAAACTATTTGAACAGTAATTGCAACAAGATACGTGATATGGTTTTTCTTGTTGCTTGAGAAGAGCACTGGCTTGAAGTTTACTGGGGAGAGTGGGATAAACTTCCTAGCCAATGCAGTTTTACTTTGATGACACGAAGAAGCCCAGATGTTGCCAATCATATTATAATATCTCAGTATACAGCGAAGTATAGAAAGCCTGCATCCTTTTTTTAAGTAATTGATCAAATTAATCCAAAGGATAGAGTTTTTCCTAACGCTATTTCAAGCTACTTATATTGGAAACTGAATAAATAACAATGAACCATACGCAATAGTATTGGACTTTAAAGTTCACTCTCATTTCATTTAAATCACAGGTTTGGAGGTCTCCATTACAGCTGTGAACTGTAACTGCTGGCACATGTGCCTATGGTGTTGTTACTGGGAGCATGTATGCACATGGGGCAACTGAAAGGGTTCCCCACTAAAGTAGCACAGAAAAGCACTGGGTGCCTTTCTGGGGGTTCAGGGTTCCCACATCAGGGGTCCCTGTGAAAGGGCATAGGGAGGAGAAATGTAGGAATCACTTATGGAAAGGTTCTATGGGATTTAGTAGGAATTAATCCAATACGATTCTATAGAAACTACTCCAAGAATTAACTGAAGAGTATATCCTTAATAGGAGGTATTATACTGCCCACGGGTTTTTGTTTTAAACCATCCTAACAGGTTTTTGTTGTTTTTTTAAACCATCCTATAGAATTCCACAGCAGAGATGTGCATTTTGAATCACGCTATGAAATTTAGGAGTGAATTCTATCCCTGTGGCTCAAAACTCCGATTTAAAAGTTATTTTTATAATCTAGAGGACTTTTCTATGAGGGATATAACCAGAGCGTCTGCAGTGGCGCACACAAGCTCAAAGTGTGTTCGTAGGATAGGTGTGGGATTTTCTGGGAAGAAAGGGCTAGGCTGTTTAGCATCAAGCAGGTATTATAAAGAGATGGCAACTAATGCCAGTAAGTCCCTTGAGAGCTAGCTGTTAATTCTGGAATTAAATAAAAAACAAACTAATATCAACTGACTCAGTTCTACCCTGTCAGACTTAATAGAACTGATACCCTAGGCAAACAATTTATTGGTGTCTCTTCCATTTCACACATCCCTCCTTTCTCCTCTCTGGTTTTCTGAGCTCCTTTTTCTCTTTCCTCTCTTTCTTAAGCTGTCATTTTCTTTACTCCCTTGTGTTATTTTTCTACCCTCTTGCTAACCTCTCCCTCATCTAGAAAGAGATGTCTTGTCTCTTGTCTACACATAGAAGTTACACTGGTTTAAACTAAAGGTGTGATGTTAAACTCATTTGGTTAAACCTGTGCAGTTTTGCATGTGGATACAAAGAGGTTTAAACCTGGTGTATGTCTATCTGCTTACCTTGCACCTGATGTAAAGCTATGTACGGATGTAGGAATCTAGGGGCACAGGGATCTTTACATCTGGGCTGCTGATTCCCCAGGCTGAATGTAACTTCCCTGGACTAGCTCCATCTCACGGTGTAAGGACAAGATTAGGTGAAATGAGCTTACCCTTTGCTAATTGGAGACTGGGCCAGGTACCATGATGACCTCCCACTAGAGGTGAGAGGAAAAAACACCTCCCCTTGCAATTAGCACAGGAACCCCCTAAATATGACTCCAACGCAGATGGTTGTGGCTATCCCAAAATCCCACCCCTTGTAACTGCTGTCCCACAGCAATTGCTAATGTTTTTAAACCAAGTTCCACCCGGTTGCTTTCCAGTGTAAATTCTTAATAATTATTATATCATCTACCTAACCACTAGAGACGGCGGCTAGCAAAACGTGCTGTGCTGGGATTTCACACTAAAAGCTATTCTAAAGCGGAGGGGATTTAGATGTAGCTGGACAGGACGCCTAGCAGTCACTATCATGGAAAAGAAAGGACCATTGTACCGTATTGGCCATTTGCAGGGCAGGATCCATCAGGCCAAGGATTTCTTCGTTATAACTTGATTCCAAGCTAATTATGTCGTCAATTACATCATCCATCTGCAACAGAAAGGTGAATGGGGAAAAATGCAAATAACTTGAAACTGAGTTTGTAACAGGGTTGTACACAATAGTAATATTTAAAAATTAAAGAGAGAGACCCAGCAATGCCTACAGCCCTCCTCGTTAGTTCTGTCTCTGTTGGACCCTGAAACCTATGCATTTTTGCCACACTCCAATTCTGTCTCCCAGTGATAATCACGACTCTCCCATCCCAGGAGCAGGTAAGCTGCCTTCAGATATCATCAATGACATTCTTTAATCAGCAGGAGGAGTCAACATTGAGTTGCCAAGCATACCAAGACCAAATGTGCCACAAGTAGGTGGGTTTGGGAGGCGTAGGGCAAAGAAAAGGGCACTGTCTCCAGTGCTACCAACCAGCGTGGCAATTCTACACATTTCAGAATGGTTTCTGGTGGCAACTTCAGAGAGTCCATTCTTGTATAATGGCCAGCATTTGTATTCCTAGGGACTTTGATCAGAGTACCATAAAATTTCCTGGAGTACCATAAAATCAGAGATAGCAGTAAACCGTGATGGCATGTGCATTGGAGAGGATGGAAACAGAAGTCCATTCAAACGCTATCAGCAAAACATAATTTGAGACTAGCTTCTGTGCGTTTTTTAAAACTGGCATATAACTTTATGAAAGAGTTGTGGGACTAATATGAACCTTCCTTCCTGGTCCTCATCTGTCTCTTCTTTCCAACCTCCTCTCCTCACCTTTCCTTCTCTCCTCTTCTAACCCTTGTATTTCACTTTCTTGCCTATCACCATTGCCAAGGATTTCAAAAGTTTGTCCTTAAAACGGTTGCCTCCATCTCTGGTGGAATCCAACTGGTTCACCTCCCTGATATTTCTCTATTGGCAGCTATTTCCATGGGCGACTCATAGGAGATGAGTATCAGAGGGGTAGCCGTGTTGTCTGAATCTGTAAAAAGCAACAGAGGGTCCTGTGGCACCTTTAAGGCTAACAGAAGTATTGGAGCATAAGCTTTGCGTCTGATGAAGTGGGCATTCACCCACGAAAGCTTATGCTCCAATACTTCTGTTAGTCTTAAAGGTGCCACAGGACCCTCTGTTGCTTTTCATAGGAGATGCAGTTTCCAAACCAGCTCAACAGAGCAGGGAGTCCAGGGAGTAACATATAGTAACAAAGAGACACTGTAGCAATTACAGGCTATATACTAGACACCATTTTTACAAGGGAGTGAGAATTCATATCCTTGACCCATATATCCCTATGCTAATAAGGAAATATTAAACTACCTCATCTCACATTATCAAATCTGAATGTAATCTCCATAGAAGGAGGGTCATTCAACATACTAGAGCATTCTACATAAAATGACAGGATAGAATTAGAATGCATTTCTCCTTCCCACTTAAATCCTATGAAAAGATCAACATACAGGAGCATTCTTTCCAACAATCTTCCCAAGACTTATTTAGAATGCAGAGGCTAAGATTGGCGTGTGGAAGAAGGGTCAACCCTTTTCAGATATACTTCTAATGCACTTTTGAAATAAACTCATAGAAAAGGACACGACAGATTTGGTTTCTATATAGTAATTCTGCCACTCTTATCCTTAAAAAAAAAAACCCTACAAAGTAGGGGGTAAGTTTCCATATTGGTGATCATGGGGAAACATAGGTTCTCTTTATAAAGGGTTCTGTTCTCCCAACTCCTGTATCATCCAGTACCTGCATGCATGACGCTCGCGTGTGTGTGTTCAGAGCCGGGCACTCGCTCTCCACCCTGCTTTGCTCTTCAAATTTATAAAATCCCTGTGAATATAAAAAAGGGGGAAAAAAGCAAAGCATGGACCTGGATTTATGGCATAGTCTCTCCTCTAGACGGGCATGGTTGAGCCAGTGTCATGCACACATGTGCCTGATGACACAGCAACGTGACGCTTTAACTCCCTAGAGAAAAAGCAAAATCGGGGTGTGATCATGATTATGGGAAGGAGCTATTTTATTTTCATTTATTTTAAAGCACGTAAACAATTGAATAAAAGAACAGGGAAAGCCCTGCTCTCTTGGCATGTGCAAAGTGATCGCTGCAAAAAGTAAATCTGAGAAGACATGCACATTGCATTATTATATACTATCAAAGTAGGAGCAGTGGATACATTTGCTTTTAGAGAGTCTTCTTCACTGGACTTATGCAGGTGCACAAATAAGCATCGACTTATACGCACTGGATAGTCTTACACTTACAGATGTACATAAGCATTAGCTTCGGCACACATTCGTCAGCACCAGTGAGGTCGTTGCTGCAAATGCTGCGGCAGAAGACTTCTAGGCATCATGCCAGTGAAATTTTGCATGTGCACAACGGAGGGCTGAGACTGAAATCCCAAGCAGTAATATTTTAAAAGGGTATAAACACCATGATATTTTGGGAAGCTACCTAACTAACTCATAACTCGAAAGAGAGACAAGGTGGGTGAGCTTATATCTTTTATTGGACCATCTTCTGTTGGTGAGAGAGAGAGAAGCTTTTGAGCTTACACAGAGCTCTTCCTCCAGTCTGGGAAATGTATTCAGAGTGTCCCAGCTAAATATCAGGTAAAACAGATTGTTTAGCATAAGCAGTTAACACATACTTCAAGGGCCTATTCAAGGTGAAGTTGCCTGATAATACCCCTGTAGTCATAGAACAGAAAGGGGGGTTAAGTGGGTTACAGGTTGTTGTAATAAGACATAAATCCAGTGACTTTGCTAGACACTAAAAATCACAATCTTAATAAAGATATGAATTTAAGGTCCCAGGATTATCTTTTGAAAGTACTGTGCAGGTTTCCTTCAAGGAGGACTGACAAATCAGATATAGACAGATCGCTTTTGTGGAAAGTTATTTCAGTTTTATTTTACTTCAAAAATTCTCTCCTCACAATGGTTTGTGGTTTTCTCTTTTTTTTTAAAAAAAATGCCTTTTACTCTTTATACTCTGAATGAGCCACAAAAGCATTATTCCAGAAAGTTACAACCAACCAACAAAAATGGCTTTGCATTCGTCAAAGGTCAATTACTCACTGTTCTGTGCATTGACCAGGCACAAAAGTGGCTTTAATAAGATGTGTAAGCTGAGTATAGCAGCGCAAAGGTTAAACAAAATCGAACTGGGCCAGAGATTTTTCACCTCAAATATTTTATATTGATATATACATATTTTATATGTTAGAAATGACAGTTCTATTTTTCAAGTCAACGCTTCACAACAGAAGATAAATTTGAGATCTTTATCATGAGTGACTCTGGCTTAACCTTATTCACAGAAGATAAGTCAGAATTTTATTAAGCATAAGACAATATCACAGCAGAGACACGATTATTTACCTCTTTTTCACAGTTGGAGTTAAGTGTAAGCATAGCCATTGGACTGTTCGGTGCGCTGCTTCCAGTTCCAGGTGGCATGACATGATCACCAGGCTGGTTTGGACAGGGCAAGCTCAGAGCTTGGTTGGTATGTTTATTTGCTAGAGTGGTAGAAAGGTACTGCTTTACCTGCTGCCGTTGGGCTTGCTGAATGTGGTACTTGGTTGGATTTTCAAGGTGAGTCTGCACCTGCAAGAATAGGGTAAAAGGACTGCGTTATTGTTTTATGGAGTCATTAGAACATTATTCTAGATGCATGTTTATCCCAGATATACTTCATGGGCCAGATCCTCAGCTAGTGCAAATCTGTGTTCGCACCACTGAAATAAATTGCATTTCAGCAAATTACAATAGCTGAAGAAATGTCTATTTGCCTCCTAATGTACCAGTACTTGCAGTTCATAAACTTAATTCAGGATTCCAGATTTGATTGTTTTTCCCACTATTCTGTTAATTTTAAGTGACAAAATTAAGTTATTTAGGTTGGTCTCCTGTGATCAGTGGTCAAGTGAGTCCTGTTTTTTGAAATAGCTGACAAGTTTTTTGAAAAAAACGTAAAATATTTTTTAGTCCAAATGACAAATGTAAACAAAATTAAGCAAATTAATAATGACATTTTCCTTTGCAAACAGAACACTTAATGCTTATATATACTTAGCATAATTTGAGCGAGACTAGGATAGCCTCTTTAAAACATGCGCTGGAAATAACAGATGACAGAACAGAAATATTTCAGTGTTGAAAATCTAAGTTAAATTAGTTTTCTATTGAGTATCCTCAGACATTTTCATTAATAGTAACTTTTATATTAGAGCAGTCTTTTAACACTAAGAATATTTTTAAATGAATTCACTCATGCTGAAATGAGCCTATGCTACCATGTAGGCAATAAAAGAAAGGCAACAGCCTTCCAAGCAAAATTTTCACCACTGTTTGATCAATTTTGTATTTATCAGACACTGAACAGTATTGCTTTTATCTGCAGGAAATAATGGATCAATTGAAACACAACATCATACTGAAAAAGCTCATTACTTTCAAATATTAATTATGATAAAATTTATTTTCAGTTGCTGAACAGCTACGAAAAAAGGTATCGTATCTCCCTAATTACTTTTTGTGGAACAAAACAAATAAAATATACCAGATAATATACAGATTAAAAGGATTTCACATACACACACACACACACACACACACACACACACACGGGTAGCCAATTATTTTTGTCAAGATCCAAATTCCATTGTCAAGGTACAGTCAAGGTTCAGACTCTAGAGAAAATAATTAATAATAAAATAAAAAGATGTCGGGGTCCATTCAAAAGCATCTGGCTGTCTGGATTTGGCCCATGGTCCACCTATGGACAATCCCTACAGCAAATCCTGTTTAACAGGTAAAGTGAGCATAAGATAACTCACCTGATAATGATTATATTCAAGCATTTCCAGCATGTTTATATGTTCCTAGCTTAACCAGGGAAATGGCTTAGCATTTATCCTTTATTTTCTGTTATTCCAGTTCAAAGGCTCATGTACAGATGCACCATAAACAAGCTAATCTGAAATGGCGGAAGAAATTTTACTACAACAGCTCAGGCTTATAATAAGCCAAGCTAATTAGTTACGCACATTGAGAAATAAACAGTTCACACAAGGGGCTTTTCTTGGAAGCCATGCAAGTTTAGCCCTAAATATTGGTATTAATTTTTTTTCCATAGCTTTGACGTCATGCTTTTTCATAAACATAAAAGGACCTTTTAAGTGATGGACTATCAAAGTCAGATTGACAGTTAGCTCAAGGCCAATTCACTATTCATCTTTAGTTCCAGTCATACTAACAGACAATGGTAGTTTTCTTTAGCAGTAAGGTTAAGAGTTGTCTGTCCCGAGTAAGAAGCGGAAGCTGCAAAAAAATGCTACAAGTTTGATGCAGTATTCACCGGCAGTGGTGTACACCGAACAAATGTATATAGTTGTCTAGTCCTATGCTGAGCTTCCATGTTTATTGTATATTGTCACACTCCTCCAACCTTACCTAACCCTACCTGAATTGGGAGGACATGGACTAGGGCAAAACACCCACTCTCCACGGTGTCATCTTTATCCTTCCTCACCAACTCCTAGGGAATACCATAAGTTTATCAGACTTGGGTGTGCATTACGATCTAAACATTGATCTGACATTGTAAGTATCTAGCTTCTGGCATGTAGAATACGGATTACCAGAAAAGTCCCAACGCCATTTTACGATCTGTAATTTAAAAAAGGCTTCATCCAAAACTCGTTGGAGGGGCAATGAGTTTGTTTGTGTTCATACTGTTAAGGAAACATGTCAAACTGTTCCTGTTCAATCACCACTGAAAGTGGGATTTTAACATAATTTATTAATCAGCCTGATACTTTGTTGCGCTTGAATAATTCAGATCTGTGGTGGCAGTAATAGCTCTAGGTTTTCCACTTTAACGTGTGTGTCCTGTGATTATGGACACAGTTTTTAACAACAGAAATACACCTATCTGTAATCAAATGCCACGCAAGGTTTGTAAAAAGAGCTGTGCGCATAATGTTTTTTTCAATTTGCTGACAATTATGAAAAAAAAAATTGTTTTGGTCTCATGAAAGTTTCATTTTGATTTTGAGCAGTTAAACATGTTTGAACTTTGAAAAAAATAAAATAGAAGGAAATTTTGAAAACAAAATGCCATTTTGAACTGAAAAATTGACATGTTTCTACATTTTTCATCAAAAAAAAGTTGGGGTTGAACATTTTTCCTGTTTCTGTAAACACGAAGATCGTAGCATGTGCAATTAGCTTCTGTGTCTATACTAACATGAACACACAAGACTAAGCCTCTTATGCTTGAAGATTATTTACAAAGATACTTGTACAGTTATTTGTGAGATTATATTAATTTCATTATTTAGTATGCAAATCAAATTAACTTTACAACTAACTTCCTCTACAACCATGGCCCAAGCAAAATTGGATTTTTATGGATGGAAAAAATAGCTGTTTACTTGAAGGAACACCCTTTCCACACAAATTCATTTGTTTCATCAATGAATAGGAAATCTACGAATGCAGGCTATGCATTATCTTCCTTTCCAAAGGGTTACTTAATCTGAGCTCGGTAAGTATACCGTGACAAATTTCCTAGCCTTCCAGATAAAAATTATGACCCCAATCAGAAATCGAACAACAAAAATCCATAATTTTCCTTGTCCACTTGTAAACATGATTAGCACACGTTAACTTACAGTATGGCAGGCCGCAGTAGGAGATCAGGACACTGTTATGTGACGCACTATACAAACATGTAGGAAAAGACACTTTCTGCCTCAAAATGCACATACAACTTGTGAGAGAAAAAATATAAAAGTATGAAAGGTGATGTACCTTGGGAAACAACACCAAAAACTGGATGAGAGGAAGGTTTGAAACAAAGCCATTAACTTTTGATAAAGAGGGTTTTATTGTAATAGAAAGATGTACAAGTATGGATTGCCTGCCCCTTTTCCTGTTGTATGTCCCCTCCTTGGAAATAAGTGGCAGTAGATGGTTTAAGCAAAGCAATGTCTTGCGAATGACTCTGTAGGGGACAGTGAGCCTCATATGGAAGGAAAGAGTGCAGTCACATGGAATGTTTGGGGGAATTTAGAATGTCTCTGCATTAGCGGAAGTATTATATGGAGTTCAGAAACAGAAGAAGCTTGTTGGCACTGAAACACTGTTTTATTTTCAGTAATGGTGAACCGAGCAACAGCTAGAGACCAGGTCATCCTATATACACTGCACCTTTTCTTTGGATTTTTCCTCCTACAAATACACTAAGTCTGTATTTTGCTATCTAGCAAAAATTACTCTGTACTTCATTAGTATCCCATGTAGGTTTAAAAAGAGGTCTCTGGATATTTAGACTGATTGTTAATGGTCCCATAATTAAAACAGATGGAGCAAGATCCTATTTACCAGTTATGTGAAAGGACCCTCCCAACCCATTAGAGGGGCATACTGCTAAAACTATCTATGGTGTAAGTAAAATCAGTATTAGGCTCCAAGATTCCCTAGACCATACACTTTCAGTTATTGTGGCCACTGCTTGTATGAAAGTTAATAGATTCATTTTTTCCCAGCCCTTATAACTAGGCGAGAATGGTTAACAAAGCTAGGGTATTTTCTCATCAAATATTTAGCTAGTGGCTTACGCTAACTCTAAGCACATAATGCATACTATATTGGCAACTGTTTCCTCCAAACCCATTACATCCCATACTCAAGGTCAGTAAAGGGACACCTCAGAAGTTCCATATTTGTCTACCGGTTTAGAGAACCAAAGACACTTCCCATCAAGTGGGTTGGCGGCTCCAGAGTTCTAATGCTAATCCTGGTGACAAGTACTGTGCAGAAGTGTCTGAGAGTACTGTATGTACTAGAGTTGGTTACTGTAGGTGGGAACTACATCTGTAGCCTGATGTAGGTTGCTGGAGCTGCAGTAGTGTAGAGAAGTTGCTGGAGGTCCCTCTGAGGTTGTTCTGAACCTGGTTGTACATTGTATTCTATATACTTCAAAAAGCTTTGAACTGCTCATTTTGTTGTAATCTACAAGATGTCCCTTTGCATGCAATCATCTGTTTTCTCTTTAGGAATTCGTAGGTAAATCCTGTTCATTCCTTATATGTTCATGCTATTAAGTCTCCACCCCAAGACATTTTATAAATACATTCTTTTCTCTATCCAGACTCTTTATTTCTGCTCCTAGCCTGGTTATTTACAATCCTATTTCCAACCCCCACACCTGGGAGAGGCTCATCTGCTCACCTCCCACTCCTACAGGGTCACCAGTTACAATCCTCTAGCAGGTACATGTTGGAAATGTTTCACAATGCTTATAAATTGCTTGATATGTTTATCTGGATACTTTCTGTCACCTCACCAAATCTTAGTGTGAAGCAAAACTAGGTCTGAGAATCAACACCATTAACTTGCACGTGGCTTACATATCACACAAGGTATAATAAGAGTTATTAAGAGACTAATTCATGATTCCATAAAGAGACACACATCTTAGAGTCCTATCTAACTAACTGTGAAGCATACTATATTTGTAAAGGATTTCAAGACAGATGTTTTTCATTTCAACATAAACAAGGGACCTTAGTTTTACAGGAAGATAGAAGTCTGCCTTG